ATATCCCTGCCAGACAGCAGAGCCAGGTCTTCAGTCTCCACTGTATCACACACAGGTCAAGAACACACTCCCCGGCCTTCTGACTGGACAATAAAGGGAGGGGGTGATCCCTCTGCTTGTTTTTTCGCCCCCGTCTCCCACCCTCTTGTGCAGGGTTGTACCAGAGGCTAATAATAAGACAAATTCAAGTGCTTACAAAAGTCGCATTCAAAAATACATGTAATATTTTTTTTTATAATAAGCAAGGTTCCCCGAAAAAAACGGAATCCCAAAATAGGAGCTGTCTATAATAATCAAACAGGTAATGATAATGTAACAAATTTTTATGAGAATTAATAATAAAGTAGAAAAACATATAAATACACCTACTGACAAAGAACATCTAAAATCAATTAAAATGACAAACAAGTCCTCCCTGATATAGCCCAGTGTTGATTGATATAGATGAGAATCTAGTGACCGTTAATGGTGGTCACTAAGAGTCACTGATATTGGACACAAGCGCTGTGTTAGGCAAGCAAATACTCAGTATCAAAGTATCGCCTGTGTGCCCATGATTTTACTCTGCAGACTCTGCTGGATATACGGAATCCCTTCGGGGACCCTGATGGCAAAGCAAACCAACCAAATCATGGTGGATCTGACAGTACTACCTTTACTCTGAATACTATCTGCTCACTTTTCTTTGGCTAAATCCATGCTGACTGGACCCATTAAGAGAAAGCTACACTCTTCGTGGATCTTTATTCACCTGCATTCGTTAGTGCGGTCGCACATATGGAATACAACTTTCCAGCTTTACTATCAAACACAGGTCTGAATACAACTACATAGGCAGGAGCCGACTTGGAGGATCCACAGCAGACCTCGCAGCAATTATACCAACATACAGGAAAATAAAGTTGCTGAAACCGGGGACCAGCAGTCTGGGACAGCCATTGTGACCATTACCTCATGCATGCTTGAAGTCTTTTTTTGTTAGGAACTGTCTTACCACCTAAACCACATCAGAAGTGAGTAATTCCTTCTTTTTCTCTTCTTTGATACTGAGTATTTGCTTGCCTAACACAGCGCTTGTGTCTAATATCAGTGACTCTTAGTGACCACCATTAACGGTCACTAGACTCTCATCACAAAACCACTTTGTGACTATCCTCAGAAGTGCTCCTGGGGCTAATCAATCCCCCCTTCTCTCCCCCTCAAATCTGACCCATGCAGCCTATATTCCTGAGAATAGCTATCTCTTCACCTCACTCGCCCCCACATCCAACCATGAAGTGCTCTGTGCTTGTGTACCTAGCCAGGAGGCAGAGCACTGCCACATGGTGGGTGGAGGCATGCTCATTCTCCATCCATTTGCATTTATATAATGAATTTGATCTGGAGTATTGCTGACGCAAGGTCCCTTCCTTGACCTATGTGACATTATTTACAATAAACGACATTTTCTTTGATGTTTGGAGTGCTAGCGACCTATCTTCACATCTCTGAGGAGCTGCACGGCGCCATCCATGGTGGTCAGTTCAGGCACCTATGTTACCTACACTGGTCACAATGCTGTATGATGTGTAGCAGGCACTTTATATAACAATTTAGATCCTTCATCTGGGTATCCTAGCTGTAGATTGTTTCCCTTTTGCCTGGATCCTGGTTTGAGCCTTGTTACAGTAGTGGATTTGCATTTAATAAAAAAAAGTAATTAAAACTGAATTGTGTACATCACTCAAATAGGATATGCCAGGTATCCACAGCATGAGTACCAAGGAAACCGCTCCGAGAGACCCTATAATATGTACACGGGAGGGCTTAGCGAAGATGAACAGTTGCAACAAGCCTTGCGGGAGAGTCTTAATGAAACGGGTAAGGATGCTACAACATCAGTTGTGAAAATAATGAGATAAACAGTAAATGTCTGAAAGTTGCAATGAAGGAACATGTTACTCAAAGTAGATGTTAAAGCGGACCTTTATCCGTATCTTTAAAATAACAACAAACACACCTTTAGAAATGTTTAGTGATGACAATCTGCAAACACATACTTCTAGATAATTGTCAGCTTTGTATTCTTTGCATTCCTTATTTCTCTTTTCTTCCCCAGTCTTCTGACAGTGGCCATGTTTACTAAGGGCAGATTACTAGCTCTCCTTTTACTTCCTGGATTTCTGCCACATGTGATTAGGCATGTGACTAGGGCATGTGACCATGCACATCATCTCAGGTAGGAAAAATGCCTTTCCCTGAGATCTCATAAGATTACAGATGAGATTTCCCAGCAATGCTCTGCTGATGACAAGGCAACCCCAGTGTGCACTGTTTTCGGCAAACTGAAGTCATTTTGCCCTTTCAAAGCAGGAAGTGAATGCTCTGCAAGTGTAAGTATTTCAAAATCACAGCATTTTACACCGGACATGTCTATGTTATTATTAATCATCATACATAGAGGGATGCCTTGGTAGAATTTAGATTTTTGAGTGTAAAGGTCCGCTTTAAGTATACAGAGATATTGAGGGGTTCTACATGACTAATAACACTTTCCTTCTTTTCTGTGTTTTCTTTCACAAAATTGTTATTAGTTTAGCAAATCATACAATAAACATTAACAGCAAGAAAATGCCAATGAACTGACACAGCAGCCAAGGTGTAAACAAAAATACACAAACATTGACAATCGGCATCAGAATAATAAAAAAAAAAGTGGTTATTGCAATTGTAGAGCAGAAGTGAACTAATGGAATGACCTTAACTGCCTCCGGGCCGGCCGTAGTAAAAAAACGGCCGGCCAGGAGCTCTCTAGATCTGAGCGGGCGTCTTTAGACGTCCGCTCAGACACGCCCCCTTGCGCGCGCCGCCGGGCGCGTGCGAGCGGGAAATGGCCGCAATTTAAAAACACCGCAGCGCTGAATACTGAAAAATGGCCTGGCCAGGAAGGGGGTCTAAACACCTGGTCTTGAAGTGGTTAAATTAGGTAATAAGGTAATCTCTCAGGACCCCCAGTTATCCATCAAAAAAACAACCACTGTGGTCTTCTTTTCCGTGTTTTAATAAATAAAGGGATGTTTTCTAGAAAACTGAATAGAGCAATGGAAGTCATATTCCAGCATTGCCTGAAAAAAATAGATTTAGCATTGCATTGGTCCAATTTTCATAATATTCACACTTGAATTGAATACCTTGCTGTACATCTCAGTGTTTAGTGAATGTATAGATGTAGTACTCCTTGCCACAGAAATATGTACTTTTAGGATGATAACGCAAGAATAGGTAAGAAAAAAGACCAGTGGATAATTACAGGAGTTAAAAAAAAGCACAACTCCTTCATCTGGCCCAATCTGTGATCAGTGTTCAGCCACTGTAGGAAGTCTGAAGGAATACACGTACTGTGTATGTATAGAGGCTTGCCTTGACTATACTGAATTGGCCTCAACAGAGACCCTCCAATACACAGCAGTCAACCTCTTCCACGCAGCTTGTGGTTATCAGAGCAACATAGGAGGAAAACTTACAAACTGAAAATTTCCCATGCTCCTTGGCTCCATCTAGCGGAACTACAGTGCTGCGCATCTCATTTGCACAATGAAGTGCTTTGTGAACGGTTTATAAATCAGTACCTTTAGAGTTAAGTGAAACCCTCCTTTAAAGGGATTTTGCCCAATAATTTTAAATCCACTTCTGCCTCCTGAGATCTGCGTGTAGTAATACAGAGGAGTTTCCACTTCCTAAGCCTTCCTTGTTTTTCCAGGATTAGGAGCTGGCACTTCTGATTTTCTCTACCATACATCAAGAGGTAAAATCTGGTATTACAGCTCATCTATTGAAATATAATGAGAACCATTATACAGTATCTCTTTATTAGACTTAGTACAACAAGCAAATGTTAGCAGTGGAACAAGGAGCACTCTGTTACTCAAAAGAGAGGAACAGAGAGAGGTAGCATTCCCTCTTATTACACACAGTGGTCTGAAGCAAAATAATAATTTTTACTGAATCAGCAAAACCCCCTAAAACGCATCTGCAATAGGAAAAATAGATGAGCTGCCATCACTCTAGTCCAGGGATCTCAAAAACAATTAACTCGGTGGCCACTGGACAAATTTTTTTTCTCAGCCGGCTGTGGGCCAGCTTTTTTTCAGCTGGCTGTGGGCCAGCTTTTTTTCAGCTGGCTGTGGGCCACATAGTACCGTGGGCTGGTACTTTGAGACCCCTGCTCTAGCCCTTCTGAAAATGATAGATAGCTGGTTTTCTCTTGCTTTTAGTATTTTCACTAACCCATAATAAGCATGTGACAATGAGGTCAGAGTAAAGTCAGAACTTCTGATTGGCTTACTTGTTTCAGGCCTGTGATTCAGAGAGTATTTCTTAAAGAGATCAGCAATGGCAGCCCCTTTATTTCTCTGAAGACAGATATCCTTTAAACCAGTGGTTGTCAACCTGTGTAACCTCAGGACCCACATTTGTCCTTGGTCATTAAGTCGTGACCCAAGTCGCACCGCATTGCGGTACTGCGAGTTCCGGTGCAGGCGATCGAACTGTGGATGGGAGGTGCGTTTAAGGTGCCATAGAAATGAATGGCAATGCAACACACCTCCCGCACCAGAATGGGTGGTAGGTGCGGTTGTGTGGTAAGGTGCGTTAATCGCACAGGAACTGTGTAATTAATCACTGTACTAGTGTGGACGAGCCCTAAAAAACACTGACAGACACACACAACCACAGACACAATCTCACACACTCACAGACATTCTCACACCCACATACACACTCCACAAAATAAAACAAAAAAATAATTTTTTAAATATCCATCCAGTCTCCCTATCTTACAAGAACTGTAGGAATTCTCAGCCTGGGGTCCAGTGTGGGCTGCTGTGCTGTGAGGGTGCCTCGCAGCCATAGTCCCACCCCACCTCAAGCTGACACTTGGAACTAAGCAGCATATTTTGAATGGCTGCTTGGTGTGAGAACTGACAGTGCTGCGCTAGGGGGAGGCTAAGGAGCCTCTCGCCTAGAAAAGTGGAAGGCATGCGGTGACCCACCGAACAAGGGGTCCCGACCCACTTTTGGGTCACGACCCACCAGTTGAGAACCAAGGCTTTAAAGCATATCTAAACCCAAAAACAAAAATGCAATATGTTGCAGCTTACCAGTCCTAAGGTGTATTTTTTGCATTTGTTTTAATTTTGGAGCAAAGAAAATTTTCAGCAAGTACAGAAAATACCTGTTGATTATGGATGAGCTCAAGTTTGGACTGAACTCAGTCCAAACCTGATCTCCCCTGAAAAAAGAGGGGCCATGGGCACTTACACCCAATCAGCTGTGGGCTAGGCATTCCCCTCCCCACAGCTGCATATAAACAAAGAGGCAGGATGCTTGTGATGTCACTGCATCCCATCTGTTTGCTTACGCCAAGCTGTGGACGGGGAATTCCCCACCCGCAGCAGGTAGCACAGAAGGAGCTTCCTTCCATGTTCAGTAGGCGCTCCTTCTGGGTTAGGAGAGGCTGAGGTTCGGACCAGGTGTGATCCGAGACTGACCTCAACCCTAATGATCCTGCTGGAAATGCAGTATCCTTGTCACTTTCCGTGAGCTAAAAGAAAGTGCGAAGAACTTTATCTTTATTATGTAAACTACTAGTTTCACCATTCCCCATGTAATGAAGATGAATGGGGCAGACATGTTTGAAGTTCAGTCTGTTTGACAACCATGACTGAACTCAAAGATACAGTGGAGAAAAAAATAGAAGGCATGAAGGGACAAAAAGTGTTTTATTCGCTGGATTACCTGGTGAAAATAAAGGGAAAAAATCCTAAAACAAAACGAATGCAGCCACTACGTCTAAGGGCTAATAGGCTGCAAGACATTTCATTTTTGGGGGGGGTTTAGATATGCTATAAAGGCATCAAATATATAGTACACCTAAAATAAACCCCCACCTTAAATACCATCAATATAGTCACCTCAAAATAACAATTTAGTGAAAGAAATGTAGGTGTTCAGGAAATCCTCCTGAAAGTGGGAATTTTATTTAGTTTAGGTAAAAGCCTTTGCAATTAAGAATAGATTTATTTATTCACATGGAGGCTAGACAAGTCTTGCCCTAAAGATGACCCTAGTGTAGAATACTGTGAGGTCCTATAACAACTCCGGCTACACAAATAGCCCTCCAGAGGTATACGCATTGGTAATTATCACATAATTTTTTCACGGCAATTGAAATAACGTAAGCTCTTACTTAATCACATTAAGACAATATCAGAATCACACTGTGCTTGAGCAGTGCTTTTATTGGCTGCAGTTCCATCATGATTTAATGCTCTCCAATATGATAGAACGCATTTTTACAACCTCTGACCATGCCACACTGGCTCATACTCGCATCGACTTCTGGCAACTCTCGGAACTTAAGAAAATAAAGCCCATTTCTATGAAAGCATGTTTTGTCTTAATTCCAATAACAACATTTTTCCACATCCAAGTCGTGAAATGTTTGGAGGCAATATTAAATGAATCTCTTTCTACCTTCATTAACACCCAGGAGAAATATTTTAATTCCTGGAAATATCAAACATGCCATTTATTTGCTTGATGTTTACATAAGTATGTTGCTGTCCTTACCTTATTTTCATTGAGGTCCAGTCTGCCACTTAACGGATTTTGTTGTATTAAATATGAATCTGCTTTTTATTGGGAGCATAATTGAAGCTGTTGCAGTGGTTGTGAAGCCATTTCAGGGAATAGAGGGTTGATTCTTAACAAAATGTTTGATTTCACACTGATATAGACCTCGCTCTGAAATAAAGGTGCACATTATTGAATTCCTCCCTTAAAGAAGACATCTAGTCTAAAGAAAAAGATGTTGTATAGTT